AGTAGTAACCAGTTACCAGTAACCAGTGTACCAGTAGTTGACTGGAAGACGTGTAACGATGCACAAAGCACGGAGGAGCAGGTGGATGACAGGAGACAGGCTGGATGATAGGCTGACTGGCGTTCACTTCCACAGTCTGGCTTACTGACTGGCTTAATTGCAAAATCCGGGTCAACCCCTCGGAGATTGAAGCAACTAGCACACGAACTAAGCCAGGAAGCTTGAAACGGCTGCAACAGGCTTGCAGGTTGGAGGTTGTGAGGGGAGTAGCTGGTGGGTGAGACGGTTCACCTTTGACCCTGCCAGCTACTCACAAACAGTCTTCTAACGTCTTGAATTACCCGTAAAAACTAAATCCACGCATCCCACCGCTGCCACCATTTATCATGTGGGAGTTCGAACACGTGGATTGGGTAAAGTAATACTCACGTAGGCTGGTAGTACGTATAATTACAGATAATGTGGGGAGCGCCCTTACAGCCGTACCTATCTCTCTTGCTCACTCTCGTAAACTGACTGGCCGCCCACAGTACCCATATGTGAGGGGGTCTTTGAATAGTGCTATGGTCAGCACAATATGAATAGACAGTGACTCAGGCAGAGACGGTTGGTAGGAGTCAACTACTGGTACACTGGTTACTGGTAACTGGTTACTACTACTGAGACGAGCTCTCAGTAGTAGTAACCAGTTACCAGTTGCACTAAACAGCCAGGTTTAGTGCAACCTGGCTGTCGCACTAAACGTCTCAAAAGTACTTTCACAAGCTAACACCAGAGTCGCCATCGCTTCTACCACTTCAATAAAGGATCTAACCAGGACAAAACCCAAGCACCACGAACCAGTCAATGCAGGAGTTTACACTATACCCTGTGGAGGCTGTGACAAGATCTACGTAGGTGAAACAGCAAGAAACCTCGACACCCGCCTCAGTGAACACATTTACGCATGTAGGAACGACAACTTAAACAACGCTTGTGCACAACACCGAAATTCCACCAATCATCTCATGAAATTCAGAGACGCCCAATTAGTGATCAAAGAAACTAATTTCCGCAGACGCAAGTGCCTCGAATCAGCACTGATCGCTGTTTCGAATACAATTAAACAAAACAACGGCAGCTTCACCATCTCCGAAGTCGTAGCAAGAATCCTCCTGAAAACAGTAAACCCTGCCATCACATAGTCTCTCCTGTTATACTACACAAAGCACATTACAGAGAGTGAACACTGAAAAAAACCTGCCTCTTTCCAGTCTATATTTGTCCAACCTATTTTTATGTTACCCAAGTAATAGCTTTTATATCCTTTTACTCATGTACGAATTAATTGCTCTTCCATATTGTATTATTTTTGTTACTACTACTACTACTACTACCACTACCACTAGTGAACATCGAAATGTTACCTCACTAGTATTACACCTCACTCTGAGCCTTTATATACCCTCTGTGTCCATGTATTGTTTGTAATGGCTTGATAAAGCTCCTGGAGAGCGAAACGTTGCCACAATAAATGTCACATTAGTTGCACTTGTGTCCTTTTACTTTACATATTGTCGGCAATTCTACCAACTTTATTACATGGTTAGTTGTTGTTGAGCCCCATGCACAAATTCCATAGGTGAGATAGGGGTAAATAAGAGAGTGATAAAGGGCCAGGAGGGCTGACTGTGGAACATAGTACCGTATCTTCGATAGTATGCCTACAGTCTTGGAAATTTTCTTAGAAATTTGTTGTATATGTGTATGAAATTTGAGTCTATTATCGAGGTGGATTCCTAAGAATTTTCCCTCTGTTAGCTTTGTGATAGGTGATCCGTTTATCGTTATGTTAAGAGGTACATCTGTAGCTCTGCTACCAAACTGAATGAAGTAGGTTTTGTCAATGTTTAATGTAAGTTTGTTAGTCCTCATCCAGGTAGATATTTTCTGTAATTCGGTGTTCACTCCTCTTTCCTTCTGCACCCACCCTCCTATAACCACAAACTTCTGCCCCACATTCTAATACTGCATTTTTAAAACTATTCCAACCCTCTTCAACCCCCCACTACTCATACTTGCACCAGCCCACCTTTCTGCCAATAGTTGCTTATATCTCACCCAAACTTCCTCCCCCCTAAGTTTATACACTTTTACCTCCCTCTTGCTTGTTGTTGCCATTTTCCTCTTTTCCCATCTACCTCTTACTCTAACTGTAGCTACAACTAAATAATGATCCGATATATCAGTTGCCCCTCTACAAACGTGTACATCCTGGAGCCTACCCATCAACCTTTTATCCACCAATACATAATCCAATAAATTACTTTCATTACGTGCTACATCATACCTTGTATATTTATTTATCCTCTTCTTCATAAAATATGTATTACTTATTACCAAACCTCTTTCTACGCATAGCTCAATTAAAGGCTCCCCATTTTCATTTACCCCTGGCACCAAAAATTTACCTATTACTCCCTCCACAACATTTTTGCCCACTTTAGCATTGAAATCCCCAACCACCACTACTCTCACACTTGGTTCAAAACTCCCCACGCATTCACTCAACATTTCCTCTACACTTCTCTCTTCTCCAGGTGCATATATGCTTACTATAACCCACTTTTCACATCCAACCTTTATTTTACTCCAACATTATTGCTACTCCTTTAGCTCTAACTTCATTAGAAACCCATGACCTAATCCCATTTATTCCTCTCCACTGAAACTCTCCCACCCCCTTCAGTTTTGTTTCACTTAAAGCCAGGACATCCAGCTTCTTCTCATTTATAATATCCACAATCATCTCTTTCTTATCATTTGCACAACATCCACGCACATTCAGACTTCCCACTTTGACAATTTTCTTCTTCTTATTCTTTTTAGTAATTATTACAGGAAAAGGGGTTACTAGGCCATTGTTCCCGGCATTTTAGTCGACTTTTACAACACGCATGGCTTACGGAGGAAAGATTCTTATTCTTATTTTATATTTGCCATATCAATTGCAAGCATGCAACATACAAGCTCAGAAACCTGCTAAAGCTTGGCTCTAAATGCTATAACTATGCCATTCTGGCTTTTATATTTTATTTATTAAAAGGAATTACAAATATTCAGTAACCAAATAGTTAAATAAAAGACAAGACTTGAATAAAAAGACTATCAGTATAAAGTAATAAATGTTTCTGAATCAGAAAATCTGAATCAGAAACATCCCTCTCTACTAGTTCAAGACTCTGAAGTACATCTCTGATATTACTAAAAATATCACTGAAGTTAAAGCTACAAAAAAGTAAAAAGCAAATGAACACATGAATGGCTTCTGTCTCCAGTAACCCAAGAATTGCTTCCGAATCCGACTCCAGTAACCCAAAAATGGCTTCTGACTCTGACTACATTAACCCAAGAATGACTTACCAGTCCACCCCTTTAAAAATCATGGTTATAGTTATAACCACTATTATTTTAGTTGGTAGATGGATCTATGAATTCCTAACAAATAGAACACAAAGAGTAATAGTAAACAGAGTAAAGCTAAAGGTGGCTACAGTGAAAACTCTGTTCCACAAAGTCGAGTACTCGCTCCCATATTGTTCCTCATCCTCATGTTCTTCTTCCTTTGTGGATGACACCCGAATTTGCATGAGTGTCATCCATCGAAGACACTGCAAGACTCCAGGCAGACATCAACCAAATCTTTAAATAGGCCACAGAAAACAATATGACGCTCAACGAAGAGAAATTTCAATTACTCTGCCATGGAAAACTCGAAGAAATTAAAACTATATCGGAGTATAAAATAAACTCCAACCACACAATTGAGCGAAAAATTAATGTGCAGGACCTGGGAGTGATAATGCCAGAGGATCTCACTTTCAAAGATCACAACAATGTATCTACCACATCCACTAGGAAAATGATAGGATGAATAATGAGAAGTTTAAAAACTAGGGATGCCAAGCCCACAATGATTCTCTTCAAACTGTTTGTTCTCTCTAGGTTGGAATATTTCTATACACTAATAGCACTTTTAAAGGCAGGTAAAATTGCAGACCTGGAGAATATACATAGAACTTTCATGGCACATGTAAATATGATAAAACACCTAAATAACTGGGAACAGTTGAAGTCTGTTGATTTGTACTCCCTGGAATGCAGGTGAGTAAGATACATAATATACACCTGGAAAATCCTCGAGGTTCTAGTCCCAAATTTGCACATGAAAATCACTCCCTATGAAAGCAAAAAACATGGCAGGAGAGGCAGCATCCCCCCAATGAAAAGCTTGGGTGCCATGAGTATGCTAAGAGACAACACATGTCATGGGCCCAAAACTGTTCAATTGCCTCCCAGCATACATAAGAGGGATTACCAATAGACTCCTGGCCGTCTTCAAGGTGCTGGACAGGCACCTGAAGCAAGTACCTGAACAGCCAGGTTGTGGCTTGTACGTCGGTTTCTGTGCTGCCAGCAGTAGCAGCCTGGTTGATCAGGCCCTGATCCACCATGAGGCCTGATCATGGACAGGGCCGCAGGGGTGTTGACTCCCGAAACCCTCCCCCCAGGTTTACCTCATGTTGATAGCCTAACCTCTTCACTGACCTGGCCTTGGTTGTCTTATCTCATGTTAGACTGCCTCCTAACCTCTTCACTTGACCTGACCTTGGTTGTCTTACCTCATGCTGACTGCCTCCTAACCTCTTCACCTGACCTGACCTTGGATGATGTATCACCTCACCTCATGTTGAATGCCTCCTAACCTCTTCACCTGACCTGACCTTGGATGTTGTATCACCTCACCTCATGTTGACTGTCTCCTAACCTCTTCACCTGACCTAACTTCTACTCCACTTTTTCTCTCAGTTGTGACTTGTTAATTTTCTAGGAAGAGTTGAAACACTGCATAATGTGTCTCTTTTATGAGCTACCTGTAAATAAATCTCATTTCCCTTAAAATTTCACACCTAACAACTCTACATAAAAACAGTCAAAAAATAAGATGAAGTATAATGTACCATGATTGGTCGAGTCTGTTGGTGCAGCATGGTTGGGGCAGCGATTGACATTATGGTGCAAAAATTGTGAACTAGAAAATACTGGCACAGCCCGAATGGAGAACATTTGGTTCTTGATAGGTTTCTTAAGGTGAATTTCAAATGGCACAGCATTGTTGATATTTGTATATAATTTGTTGGTGATCCTGCTCATCTGTAAACAGAAATACAAAATAAATTGTGATTTTTATGCAATTATGTTTAAAAGTGCACAAGTAATTGAATAACATGTATTATGCATACTGGCTCCTGCACCTTTGTGTCTTAGTGTGACCTGTAAATGGTCCAAGTTGAACTGAAACACTGACATAAGCTTCTCCTACATGTGGGTTATTTGTATAGAGAGGAGCTTTATAAGAGAGCTTACTGCATTATCTTTTACACCTTATATGATTCTCTCAGCTCTCAAGTTTAAAATTATATGAAATACATCTAAATTAACCCTCTAAGACTAAGGAACTATAACTAGCACAAACTTCATTGTTCCTTCAAGGAAAAAAAAGGCCCTCTTTGTTGGAGAAGGGCTCTTGGTCCAAAGACCTCAAGCTACCCTCCCCTTCCTTGGATCAAACATAATCACCTCACATTCCCCATGCAATGCATGAGCCCAATGGGTTCAGTGTTTCCCACACTATCATACAATAACAATAATTAACATTACTGTTGCTTCTCTCAAGTGAACATTTCATTGCTGTATACTGTCACAGAGCCACTTCTATCTATCTATCTATATCTACATCTGTATCTATATCTATATATCTATCTATATCTATCTATATTGATCTATATCGATCTATATCTATATCGATCTATATATCTCTCTCTCTCTCTCTCTCTCTCTCTCTCTCTCTCTCTCTCTCTCTCTCCTCTCTCTCTCTCTCACAAAAAAAAAAACCAAAGTAGGGTATGTAGGTAGGTGAGAGCAGCAGAGCTTGATGACAAACATACAAAATAGACAGACAATAGGAAGAAATACGGTACACCCTCCGTTTTCATTAGGCTCTGTTTTCATGATTTTCAGTTATCGCCGACTTTTTTCGTAAAAATATAGGCTCTGTTTTCGTTACTTTCCTCTGCTTTTGTCGGTCATACGGAACACATCCAAGTGCCCGCATGCACACAAAGCCTCCCACACACACATTGAGTCAGTCTGGCACTGTTTCTCGGCGAGTGAACATAACCCTGTGAGGACATACGAACCATTTCATATTCGTTGTTTATGCCGTTTGTTTATTGTGCGTGACTGCTAAATAAGCCACCATGGTCCCAAACAAAGCTCCAAATGCCAGCCCTTTGGTAAAGAAGGCAAGAAACACTATAGAATTCAAGAAAGAAGTTATAGCAAAATATGAAAGTGGCGTACGTGTGGCTGACCTCGCCAGGATGTATGGCAGGCCTGCATCAACGATCAGTTCCATCGTGGCAAAAGAAAAAAAAAATCAAGGAAACTGAAGTTGCAAAAGGGGTAACTGTGATAACAAAATAGAGATCACAAACAATCGAAGATGTCGAGAAATTGTCGTTGGTGTGGATCAACCAAAAACAGTTAGCAGGAGATAGTGTTGTGCAGCTGATAATTTGCGAAAAGGCAAGGCAGTATCATGTGGATCTCGTAAAGAAAATGCCTGGAACGAGTGCTGCTGTTAGTGAATTTCAGGCCAGCAAAGGGTGGTTCGAAAAATTCAAGAAGCGAAGTGGCATGGTGAGGCTGCAAGTCCAGACAAACGTGTGGCTGAAAAATCTGTGCATGAATTCAAGGAGTATGTAGAGGCTAGAGGATTCGTCCCCCAACAAGTGTTCATTTGTGACAAAACAGGCCTCTTTTGGAAAGAAAATGCCAAAGAGGGCCTACATCATGCAGGAGGAAACAGCACTCCCAGGACACAAGCCTATGAAGGATAGGCTTACTCTCATGTTTTGTAGTAATGCTAGTGGGGATTTTAAAGTGAAGCCTTTACTGGTGTATCACTCTGAAAATCCCAGAATATTCAAGAAAAACAGTGTCACCAAGAGTAATTTGTGCATGATGTGGAAGGCTAACAATAAGGCATGGGTCACGAGGCAAATTTTTCTTGATTGGTTCAATGAAGTGCTTGGCTCGAGTGTGAAGAAATACCTCCTGGAAAATAAATTGCCACTCAAGTACCTCTTGGTAATGGACAATGCTCCTGCTCATCTGCCAGACTTGGATGACCAATTGTTAAAGAAGTTTAGTTTTATCGCAGTGAAGTTCTTGCCCCCTAATACCATTCCTTTCATCCAGCCCATGGACCAGCAGATCATTTCAAACCTCAAAAAACTCTACACAAAAGTAATGTTTCAAAGGTGCTTTGACATGACCTCGGACACTGAATTGACCCAAAAAGAGTTCTAGAGGGATCACTTCAGTATCCTCACAACTGCATAACCCTTATAGAAAAGGCTTGGGAGGGAGAGACCTCCAGAATAATGAACTCTGCTTGGAGAAAAATGTGGCCAAAATGTGTCCAAGAGAAGGATTTTGCAGGGTTTGGGGCTGATCCTGACGACCCTCTGCCTGTTGTGGAATCTATTGTGGCATTGGGGTTGAATGCAAGTGGCCAGGATGTGGAAGAGTTGGAGGAGGACCACAGTGAAGAGCTAACCACTGAATAGCTGCAACACCATCTGCAACAGCAACAGAGCACAGCTGAGGAAATTGCTTCAGAGGAGGAGGAAGAGAGAGGGAAGAAGGTGCCCTGTTCAAAGATTAAGGACATTTTGTGCAAAGTGGAGTGAGGTGCAAATGTTTGTGGAGGAACACCACCCTAACAAAGCTGTTGCAGGCCATGTCTGCGACATGTTCAATGACAGTGCCTTGTCCCATTTTAGGCATATCTTAGAGATGCCAGAGACAGAGCTTCCTGGAACAATTTTATGTGCAACAGGGATCCAGTGACTCAAGCTGGTCCTAGTGCCATTAAAAAACAAAGAAGGGAAGTAAACCCGAATAAGGACTTGGTACCTAAAGTTTTTATGGAAGGGGATTCCCCTTCCAAACAATAATCAGTCCTCCCTCTCCCCTTCTCCCCGTCTTCCATACACCAACAAGAGTCTTAAACAAAGGTAAGTGTAATGTTAAATGTTCATTTATACATTTTATCAGTGCTTTATATTATTTGTCATTCTTTTCTGTATGTAAATCTAAATTTAATCTCTAAAAAATTTATTTTTTGTTAATACTTTTGGGTGTCTGGAACAGATTAATTGGATTTACATTATTTCTTATGGGGAAAATGGTTTCAGTTTTTGTGAATTTCGGCTTTCGTCAGACTCTCTGGAATGGATTGATCACGAAAACAGAGGGTTAACTGTAAGTATCAAGGTGTTGGTTCACAAACATGTAAGAGAGATGAGCAGTGTTGAGTATCAAGGTTCACAATCAAGCAGGCGAGAATAAAGGAGAATGTTAAGAGAATTAACCCTTTGAGGGTTTTCGTCGTACTAGTACGTCTTACGCGTAGGGGTTTTTGACGTACTAGTACTCATAAATTCTAGCGGCCTCAAATCTAGTGGGAGAAAGCTGGTAGGCCTTCATATGAAAGAATGGGTCTATGTGGTCAGTGTGCACAGTCTAAAAAAAATCCTGCAGCACACAGTGCATAATGAGAAAAAAAAAACTTTGACCATTTTTTTTTTAATAAATCGCGACTTTGCAGTGTATTTTCGTATGGTATTTATTGTTGTATTCTAGTTTTCTTGGTCTCTTTTTTATAGAATGGAAAAACATATTACAGAAATTGAGATGATTTTGACTGGTTTTACAAGAAAGGTGCCTTGAAATTGAGCTAAAAAGAAAGCAGAATGTTCGATTTTTACCAAACTTCAAAAGTAAACAAATCGTGCCAAGCGTGCAATCCACGTCAACTGGGTCTAATATTCTTTCACAAGTGCACCAATAATATTATACCATTTTTTACACTAATGCAGTAGTCTGCATAACAGTAATCTTATTTTTTTTGTGAAAAAAAAAATTCAAAGTGGAAAGCAAAAAGAATATAAGAGGGGCTTGAGACATGATAATGACTAGAGGAAATGTCATTTTAGTGCCAGGAATGTCTTTCTTGTTTATTCTGGCCCCCTATTCGGAAATTGGCATCTTTAAAATTTTGTGTGAAATTGGCAAAATTGCTGAATTCTGACCACTGAAATGGATAGTTGAATTTCATAAATGAGTGTTTTCTTGCACCCATTCGATAGAAAAAATGGAGTTCTAGCGAAAAATTCATGTTTTTTGTCGACTAGTACAGTGAAATTTCCGAAAAATGGGGCTCAAAGTGGGCAAAATTCGCCGATGCGTAAACATCGCCGAGAAACCCCTAACTTGCGAGAGCATAATTCCGTAAGTTTTCTATCAAATTTCAAACTTTTGGTGTCTTTATGATCGGGAAAAGATTCTCTATCTTTTCACAAGAGAAAATAATTTTTTCTTATTTTAAATTTGGCCGACCCTGAGAACGAGTTTCGGAGGGGGGCCTGTCGACCCTCAAAGGGTTAAATAATAATTTATAAAGGGGGAAATAGTAAATCCACAAAGGTCACACAGAACCTACGAAATTAAGATTAAGATGTTTATTTTGACAAATTACATGGTTGTACAGAGGAATATAATACAGTGGACCCCCGCATAACGATGGTATCACATAGCGGGTTTTTCCGCATACCGATTACTTTTATCGCAAAATTTTTGCCCCCGCAAAACCGATTAAAAACCCGCTTACCGATTTTCGTCGAGAGCGTCCAATGTGCCCCCACATGTGCCGCCCGTCCCATTTTTTTACCACCAGCCTCCCGGTAACATCCAAGCATACACTCGGAATATTTCGTATTATTACAGTGTTTTTCGGGGGCTGTTTCTGGAAAATAAGTGACCATGGGGCCCCAAGAAAGCTTCTAGTGCAACCCTGTGGTAAAAAGGGTGAGAATTAGTATGGAAATTAAGAAAGATTTTGAAGGGTTTGGGGCTAACCCTGAGAAGCCTATGCCAGTTGTGGAATCCATTGTGCCTACTTCAAAGATTAGGAAAGATGTGCACAGTGGGTTGAACTGCAAACCTTTATAGATGAAAATCACCCTGACACAGCTGTTGCAAGCCGTGCTGGTGACTATTTCAACGACAATGTTGTGGCCCATTTT